AAAGAAGGAGTCCCACTCAGACTCATTGGTAGCAGCATAAACTCAGCCACCTACAACATTTCCAAGCACCTCATCACCATCCTAGCTCCCCTTGTGGGGAACACACCCCATCACATCAAAAACTCTGCTGACTTCACCAACAAGGTCCACAAACTTACACTTGATCCAGATGAAACCAGAGTTTTAAATACAACAACGGTTTCTACAGACAGAAACAGGGATATGCAATTCGCTCCCATGTTTTTACTCATTGTAACCATCCTTTCGTGGCTCAAGAGTTGGGAGTTCGCCTTGTAATCGGAAGGTTGCCGGTTCGAGCCCCGGCTCCGACAGTCTCGGTTGTTGTGTCCTTGGGCAAGACACTTCACCCGTTGCCTACTGGTGGTGGTCAGAGGGCCCGGTGGCGCCAGTGTTCGGCAGCCTCGCCTCTGTCAGTGCGCCCCAGGGTGGCTGTGGCTACAATGTAGCTTGCCATCACCAGTGTGTGAATGGGTGGATGACTGGATATGTAAAGCGCTTTGGGGTCCTTAGGGACTAGTAAAGCGCTATATAAATACAGGCCATTTACCATTACCTTTACATGGAATAAGCGGAAAGAAAGGCTCTTTGCTCTTTAATAGGGACAGCAGCTAACCACATGATAGGGTGAATCAAGGTTTGAAAATGGTTTCACTCAAAATCTCTGGTGATAACGACTCACGCTTTTTCCACACGTTTGTTCTTGCGTTACGAACAAACGCAAAAACGCTGAAGGTGAGCTGACAGTAAGAGGGTCATCATCTCACAATGCATTAGGATTCTCAGACCTAATGCAGACCTAAGTCATGGTTTACTTGATGCCTGCAAACTGGCACAAACTGAAACTCTCAGTAAAGACACTGAAGCAGTGGACGGATGAGACTGTGGAGAATCTGCAGGTGTGTCTGGACTGCACCGACTGGGAGGTTTTCAGGATTGTTACCAACAGTTGGGATTATGTTACGGAATAAACATATATTCTTAGTGCTTATTTTCTGATTATATTCTTTTATGTATGTTAATAATAAAGGCCTCTATAAAGCAAGGCCAGCTGTGAGAGAGAACTAGGTCAGAGGGTGACAGGTTGCCTTAGCAACAGAAGCTTAAGTTAGTGGAAGTTTAAAAAACAGGAAGTTTAGTGCAGAGCTGCACAGACATATTAATAAAATACAGGAAACCAGACAGAAAAAGTGGAACTAGTAACACAGAAGGAGTTTTTTTTGATTGAAACTATGTGTGACGTGTAAAGGACTAAAATAACACCTATATGAGACACATTTTTGGCTTCTAATGCTAGAGATTTTGCAACTGGCTTTTTGGGCTGTGCAGGTGTCTCTCTTCTGGGAGATAATTAAATAAGAATTATAAATATTTTGATTAACTGAGTCGTGTTCTCTCTATTCAGTAAGAGAATGACAAGAACCAGATTTAATAATTATTATAGAGATGCTGTGATAACCTGTGACGTCAGCTTCTGTGAGGACAGCTGCACAGCATCAAACACCAGGGTGAGTTAGAATAATGACCAGCTCTGGTTCACAGCTAAGCCAAAGCAGGCTGAGGCTGGAAAAGCAGGAAGTGTTTCAGAGTGGGGACAGAGACAGTTTGAAAGACTTTCAGGTCCAAAAACTGTTTTCAGCTAATGACTCTGCTTCAGTCTGGAAAACACCCCGACAGTGAACCAACCACAAGCCTGAAGACTCCACTCCACCAACAACTCCCCCACTTCAGGCTTTCAGTTGTTTACGAGCACTTCACTGACCCTCCAAGTGAGGCCTGTAAATCTTTGCCTCCAAATGCTAAAAGTTAACATGAAAATTACACCTGTTTTTGCAGGCATGTTCACATTTGGGATATGCAGGACTTCAGCTGGTGCAACATCATCTATGATGTGACTCAAGCCCCTGGCCCTTACCTCAAGGATTGGTTTGTTAACCATACCACAGAAAGGGTTGATGTGTGGTAGCTCTGCAGGGATGGCAAGCTGAGAGCTAGACTACCCTTTGAAGGGAAAGGAACCTGTGCATTAGTTTCTCTGCTCATGCCTTTCAACTTGTTCACACTAAAAGACTTTAAGCAGTTGCCCCAAATCGTAAAGGAGTGGGGCATAGAAACTAGAAACTGGGAGTTGTCTTCCCTAAAGTAACACTGATGTATTAGCAGAAAAACACTATTCACTGCATCTTGAGTAAATATTATAAAGGAGTGTAGCATAAACAGGAGTGAAACGACAGAAAAATGTAGTAAAGCTAGGCAACACTCTTTTCAGAAAACTGAAGGAATGCATCTCTCTGTCTTCATGTCCCTCGAATCAGTCTTTTTCCTCCGGCCTTGTTGTGACTCCTCTGCCATCCATTATCCAAAGCACGGAGAGAATCATGTACAGGTAGACCATGTAACTGAACTCTTTCTGTAAGAGCATCTCACACATATCTGTTTCCAGGATAATATTGTGTATGCCATTGCTTCCTTGCAACTAAATAAATGCATTGGAGCTTGCTGCTCATTAGTGAATTTATCTAAAATTCTAATACTACAGCAGATTGCTCTAATCCATTTCCTGTTATCAATTCAAACAGGAACCACGGACATGCTATGGCTATTCATGGTGCCGTTAGGTGCACCTCATAATTTCAGCAATCCATACTCTTAAAGACATAAAGTTGTTTAAAAGAATATCCATCCATCCATCTTCATCCGCTTATCCGAGGTCGGGTCGCGGGGGTAGCAGCCTAAGCAAAGAGGTCCAGACCTCCCTCTCCCCAGCCACCTCCTCCAGCTTGTCCGGGGGAATACCAAGGCGTTCCCAGGCCAGCCGAGAGATATAATCTCTCCAGCGTGTCCTGGGTCTGCCCCGGGGCCTCCTCCCGGTGGGACATGCCTGGAACACCTCACCCAGGAGGCGCCCAGGGGGCATCCTTGTCAGATGCCCGAACCACCTCAGCTGGCTCCTTTCGATGTGGAGCAGCAGCTGCTCTACTCTGAGCCCCTCCCGGATGGCCGAACTTCTCACCCTATCTCTAAGGGAGAGGCCAGCCACCCTTCGGAGGAAGCTGGTGCTGGCGCTGGTTTAAAAGAATATTTTGGGTTAATTTTGATTTGCTGGAATAAATTATAAGTTAGTTAATACAGTATCATAACCAAGCTGTTACCAACTATTAAGCCTGTATTTTTCTCAAAGCTGTCTTCAGAAATGTGAAATTATTACATCCAGAAATTACAAGAATTCCCACATTCACGGCTGTAGCAGCATATATTCAAAGATTCATAATTAAAATCACCTTAAGGTGACTGTTGTTGTGACTTGTTGCTGTATAATTGAAATTGAATTCAAATAAAATGTTTCCTGCAAACATTAAACATGTTCTCTTGTACACTTGTGATCATTTTCAAATTGTATGGCTGTAAAAATGTGACATTTTCTCCCAAAGTCACAGTATCAGCCCATTCCCCTGTGTAGAGGCAGGCATTTTTTTATTCATTTATATTTTTTACACTCCCAACCAGTATTGTTCGGCTCAGTCACTGGGTACATTTCTGATTATTTTACATCTGGTTAAGCATCTCTATTAAGGGGTCAAAGGTCTCTCTCGTACTTTCAGTGCTGCCAAATCTGGATGTAAGTCCTCACTGCACTGTGTGTGTCTGTTTCCTGATTCAGTAAAACACATGCAGCTCTCCCAAAATGTGACAGCATCACTGTTTTTGTCCTCCTCTTCTCCATGAATCTCATCAGTATACAAGGCTCACACCAATGCTAATGGAAAATGTAATGTTAGTGTTATGTTAATCAACAATGTCTGTGAAGGTTCTCAGTCATTCAGGTCATCGTAATCGAAGGAGCTTAGAAAGAAAGCGACTGGACTTCTTGAAGACGTTTTACCTCTCATCTGAGAAGACAGATGATAATAAATTATAATAAAAACGCTAAGAATTATGTGTCATTTTAGTCTCTTTAATTGTGCTTAACTAAAAGCACAAGAATAAAAACAAATGCTCAGAAAACACAAGTCTTGAGAATAGAGGCTCAAATTTGACCCTATAATTGAAAATACTATAATATCATAATTATTATTAGTTATAGATGTTGCAAGTTTAAGGGATACATATACAGCAGGTGGAGAAATACTCTGATCGTTGCTTTTGGTCCTCTTTGGATGCTGACTGTCTTTTGTTCTATTAAAAGTATTTCGACAGACACACAAAGCTGGACATCTTTAGTTCTGAGTCTAAGAAGGTTAGAAAAAAGTGACTGAAAATCTTGTGCAAATCTCTGCAAATGTTTCACCTCTCATATATACAGTGTAAGAGTCATTTACAGGGACTTCATGTTCTATGTGAGGTAACTTGTTTGATACATATTCTGAAATTTGATGTTTGAGAATACTGTATATTGTCATTATTTTTGGTTTATTTTGAAAAGTCTCAACAGGATCTTTAACTTTATTGTGAAAGGGTTACATGAAAAATAAATAAGCGGTCGGCTGAGCCACACGATGGTTTTACTGTCTTTACTGACGAACCGACGCGTATCCGTCCGTAGTGTGGTTATTTTAACTGTAGGAGAAAGAAATTAATACAATGACTACAGACAGTTATGACTGAATTATATAAAACACTGCATGAAAAACACCAACGACGTTATTACAGATATGCTGATCCCAGCAAAGAAGAACCGAAACAAAACAGCCTTTTAAATAACCGTGGATGTGGTGACCGTGGTAAACACAAACGAGGCTGTAGAGGTTTGGTGCAGGCAGAAAAACAGCTGCAGGGACAATGAAAAGACTTTCCTGCTCCAACTTCTCCCAGCATGCTGAGCTAATGGTTAGTTGGTGTTTTTCTCCAAACACTCTCTCACTCTTCTCTCAACGTGTTCACAATAAACTGTGAACAGACACCGAGGAGAGCAGCAGAAGACCTCATTCAGGAGCTAAACTCAACATGAACTGAACTCACAGTAAAGTTAGCTCGGTGCTTACCTTTAGATGAGCCCACAAACCGAGAGAAACTCCGCGATGAAGCTGCAACTCTTTCCAAACACAGGAAACAGATCAGGGAGCAGAGACCCACGTGGTTCACGCTGATCTCAGCTACGATCCAGGAGACAAGGGTGGGCAGATCGATGCAGATATCGATCAGGACGTTGGTAGTGGTTTATGATCGATACTTTAGTTTGTTTCTCTCCTCTAAGTTCACTACTTTACTCCCGTTTTGTGAAAAAGCAGCTCTCTCTGCTCGACTCCTCTCCTGCGCACACACTGTGCTCCGCCCCCTCTTCCTTCTCTGCTGTGGTTCGTTGCTGTGCGGTCACTGCGCACACGTGGGGTGCGTTCCGTCTCCTATCTCCTTTTCCTAGCTTCTTTTCCTTGGCCTCTATAAAAACGTCGTCGTGGAAAAGAGACTCAGGAAAAGAGAAGAACTGAAAACTACATTGAAACTACAATGTGCAGAAGATGCACTAGAAAACAAACATTTCACTTTGTCACAATGTGTTCTAAACCAGTTTTTTTAATTAGATTAGATTAGATTAGATTAGATTAGATTAGTGTAGGAGCCATTCTTGGGTTAATACCTTATGTGGTCACTAGAGGTCGCCTTTTTCTGTTTTGATTATGTAAAGGTATTTAAGGTAGACGCACGTAATCGGCGTCAGGTGTGTCATTGAGAAGGCAAACAGTTTGTGACCGTTGCGCTGTTATGCTAAGTCGATACAGAATAAAGACCAAAAAGGACAAGATACATACTGCTGGATTCATTGGACTGTGAACTTAATTCATGCATACCAGTGACATCGCGTCACCCCCGTTAACGACCACCTCAGTGGCTTCAAGCGTAGGCTTAGCCTCTACAATTAGATTAGATAAAACTTTGTTAATCCCTCGGGTGGGTTCCTCTGGGAAATTTGGTTTCCAATAGTACAGCACCAATAGAAGTTACAGAATGTGAGCAGAAATCTAACATAAATACACAGAGTATTCAAAATGGATAAATAGATTAAATAGGAATATGAATACAAGGGAATTGCGCATTCCAAGTATTGAAGTCTATTGTACTGTATATTAACAAAAGGTATTGCACAGTGAGGTGAAGAGGCACTACAGCTTAGTTGTTCCCCCCTCCTTTGTCCCCCTGTCTCCCCTCCCTCTCCCCTCCAGAGAGGAGTTAAACAGTCTGATGGCGTGTGGGACAAAGGAGTTTTTAAGTCTGTTAGTTCTTGTCTTGGGGAGAAGCAACCTGTCACTGAACAGACTCTTCTGGTTGTTTATGGCCGTGTGCAGAGGATGCCCAGCATTGTCCATAATGTCCATCAGTTTCTTTAATGTCCTTTTCTCTGCCACTGTCACCAGAGTGTCCAGCTTCATGCCGACCACAGAGCTAGCCTTCCTGATCAGTTTCTCCAGCCTGGATGAGTCCTTCTTTGCTGTGCTGCTCCCCCAGCACACCACAGCATAGAAAAGTACTCCAGCAACCACCGACTGGTAAAACATCCTCAGGAGCTTCCTGCAGATGTTAAAAGACCTCAGCCTCCTGAGGAAGTACAGTCGGCTTTGGGCTTTTTTATACAGGTGCTCTGTGTTGCATGACCAGTCCAGTTTATTGTCCACCCACAGCCCGAGGTACTTGTACTTGTTGACCACCTCCACCTCCTCCCCCTCTATCTGAACCGGCAGTGGACCTGCTCTGGACCTCCCGAAGTCCACAACCAGTTCCTTATGGAGTTCCTTATGGAGAAAAGCACAACATAAGAACCAGTCCATTTACCATTTTTCCACAGGATAACTTTTTATTAATTCTTTTATTAAAAAATGAATGGAAATGAGATTTATTAAAAATGTCGTTTCCAATAGAGACCAGGCATCATGGCAGCAAAAAACACGTGCACCAAATAATAACGTAATTAAAACAAATACAGTTCCATACATCCCAAAAGTTGAGTCTGTTCATCTGGAGTGTAAACTTTTCGTGGCATTGTATATATATATATATTATATTATATATATATATATATATATATATAATATATATATATACATAAAAAAAATATATAATTAAAACATCCCAGCGCCCCTGGGGCGGTATCCTTCAAGCTCGGGTCCTCTACCAGAGGCCTGGGAGCTTGAGGGTCCTGCGCAGTATCTTAGCTGTTCCTAGGACTGCGCTCTTCTGGACAGAGATCTCCGATGTTGTTCCCGGGATCTGCTGGAGCCACTCGCCTAGCTTGGGAGTCACTGCACCTAGTGCTCCGATTACCACTGGGACCACCGTCACCTTCACCCTCCACATCTTCTTGAGCTCTTCTCTGAGCCCTTGGATATTTCTCGAGCTCTAAAATTAGAAATATCCTGCTCTCAGAGTGATGCTGAAAAACTAGTTCATGCATTTATTACTTCCAGGCTGGACTACTGTAATTCATTATTATCAGGATGTCCAAAAAACTCCTGAAAAGCCTTCAGTTAATCCAAAATGCTGCAGCAAGAGTCCTGACAGGGACTAGAAAGAGAGAGCAGATTTCTCCGAATCTCTGCTTGAATCATATCTGTTATTAACCTCTGTCTCTCTTCCACAGCATGTCTTTATCCTGTCTTCCTTCTCTCACCCCAACCAATCACAGCAGATGGCCCCGCCCCTCCCTGAGCCTGGTTCTGCCGGAGGTTTCTTCCTGTTAAAAGGGAGTTTTTCCTTCCCACTGTCGCCAAAGTGCTTGCTCATAGGGGGTCATATGATTGTTGGTTTTTTTTCTCTGGATGTATTATTGTAGGGCCTACCATAAAATATAAAGCGCCTTGAGGCGACCCTTGTTGTGATTTGGTGCTATACAAATAAAATTGAATTGAACGTCAACTGGTCTGAAACAGTTTAGTGTTCATGGACTCTAACTAGAATAACATTTTTGGCCATTAACAATGCTAAAAGAAACATGATCTTTACTCATACTTTCCTAACCCTAACCTTCAAACAATCAATCTGAATCTTAACTCAAATCTCAAACTACTTGTTGTGAGACCATCTCTTTATTTTTCACACCAAAGTGTTTTATAAAACAAACTTTACAGAGAGTTCATCAAATATAACTAATGGTTTAACAGAATGAGGATTTGACAATACAAACTTAACATCAACAAGAAAACAGCTGCAGAACATGGATCAAAATGCATCCAATAACAAACAACATGTGGACGTCAAAGATACAGTAAATAAACTAAAGTGAAAGGAGGAGCTAAAATTAGAGTTTTCAAAAGAATTTGAATGAACTAAAAGAAGTCATCTGCGATTTCAAAATGGTCTTCATGTGTGCTGCTGTTTTTAGCTTTTAACATTTCTTTTCTGCCACTGTGATTAAGAATGTGTTCTTTGCCTGATTAAATAAAGGTTACACTGACTCACTGCTGTATCTTCTGGTACAAACCAGTTGACAGATTTAGTTCATACTGAAAGCTTTAAGAGCAATTCGTGTGGCATTATTTGGAGTTTGGGAAGAAACACTTTTAAGAGCACAGATTACCACAGCATAAGAAGATTAAATAGAAAAACAATTAAAATTTTACTGAGGTAACAGATAAAATAAATACAGTGGAACCCCGACTTACGAATACCCCGTTTAACGAAAAATTCAAGTTATGAAGGCACTGAACGACAATATTTCTGCCCGAGTTATGGCAAAATGCCTGGGTAACGAAATCCACTGGCTCTGATTGGCTGAGCCTACAATGCCTTCCGAATCATGTGACAACCCCTTGGCTTCCGTACTTGCGCTTCGCTGTTCCACTTGAATGACGTATTGTTGTTCTAGTTAGCAATTAGCCTATAGCCTATCGTTCAGCATGGCCTCACTCAAAATGCGCAATGGGTGCTTCGACTTACAAAAATTTTCGACTTACAAAAGACCCTTGGGAACAAATTAATTTCGTAAGTTGTGGTTCCTCTGTACATACAAATACATAGAAAGAAGTTAGATTTGGAAAAAAGCAAGAAAGTTATAATGAAAAAAATATATACACATGTATATACAGTCGCCTGGCGCTATAACATGGTTCACTTTTCCCGGTCTGATTTTTTTGTGTGCAAATTTGCATGTTTTTTTTATTTATTTAATTTTTTTTAACAGCGGATTATGTTCTGGGTACTGATTGTAGACCACTGTGACTCAAGGTCTTAAATAATCAGACCTTGAGTCACAGTGGTCTGCCGTGTCTCCTGTCAAATTTACATAAATCTTCGATTGCTAGTAGTGCGACTGTGAGATGCTGTACCGTCTGTTTGTAAGTTTTTGTCATGGTCCCCATGTCTGCCTGGCGGACCCAGGTTGGCTACATATGTTTCTGGTTCTCCCTCACGCTCACCATGTGTCGCCTGGGCGGAGCTCATTGCAGGCTTCTGATCCTGCCCTTCGCACCTGTGGCTCATCATTTCACCAGCGTCCACTATTTAAGGCAGTGGCTGGAAACATCTCATGGTTGGACTATTGAGTAACCTCGGTTGTAAGCTTCCGTACCCTAGTTTCAAGTTGTTTCTTCGTTTTATCTTTCTGGATTAACCGCTTGTTCCTGTGCGCAGGATTCTCTTTCCCTTAAAACCCTGGGCGAGTGGAGTTGCTGGTGTGTTGTGTTTTGGAACTGTGTGACAATTTCCTCATGTGTAAAGAGCCCCTATTTCTGGACGTCCCCTGTGCCCCTCTGGATCCCCCCCCCCCTCTCTCACCTATATATAGTTGCACCTGGTGGTGTGTGTTAATAAAAGGAACTGCATTTAGCTTCCCTTGTCTGCGCATGAGTCCATCCCACCTCGTGACAGTTTTCTTCCCAAAAAACACAATGTTGACGAAATGTTTTGCACCATCAAAGGCATCTGTGAGTGCCTGTGGTTTCATTGGACATCTTTTTCTACGAAGGTTTGAACTTTCACAAGAGAAGTGTGAAAATTGTCCATGTCTGTCTGACAAAAATGTATGAAGTGTGTAGTGGGGTGTTTTACAGTCTTAAAACATCTATAATCTATAATAATTGTAAAAAATAAAGTTGGATACTTTGCGGATTTCACCTATCGTGGGTTATTTTTAGAACATAACTCCTGCGATAAATGACCACTGTATGTAAAATAGCTGCTTGGTATTTTGTTTGAAAATGCTTTATGAAGTTATTATTATCCACATCTGCAGTTTTCATGCAATATCAGTTTGGTAAAAAACACATTCCTATAACTTTTATAATACAATAAAATGTACAACTACTACACACTACTGTGTACTAAGGGAACAAAGATTAAAATGTGACAGGGATAAAAAGCACTAATATCGCTCAAAGGAAAATAAACTTTATGTTTATCTCCATACTATCTAAATGTAACATTCAGTGCGTTTACTGCAGGTCCAGAAATCAGAGCTACCTCATCAGATCCAAGTGTGACATCAGCTGCACTCTTTACAGGAGACTCCAGCTGAACTCTGTGGAGCCTGATCTCAAGGTTTTTAAGTCTGACCCTGAAACCAGAAGAGGATCTTTCTGTCTCTTCAGATTCATTGTGATCCAGTGATGAGAATAATTTCATGACCACGCTGATGTTTGCACAGAGCAGATAATGAAGTGAATGTTTTTGCACATTGGTAACAGTGAAACAGTTTATTTGCAGCGTGGGATCGTTTGTGTGTGGTGTAGGAACTGAGATTCCTGAAGGTCTTGTCACACTGGTCACAGCTGAAGTTCCCTTTAACGTGTGTACGTTCATGTGTTTTACAATGAGCTGATTGTGAGAAGCTTTTGTCACAGTGTCTGCACTTGTATGGTTTCTCTCTTGTGTGGACTCGTTTATGCAGGTTTAGGTCACCTGCAGTAGTGAAGCCTCTCCCACATTCGTTGCAGTAGTTCATTTTGCCTCCAGTGTGTCTAAGTTGATGTTTTCTTAGGCTCCCACGATTACTGAAAGTTTTTCCACAAAGGTCACAAAGAAACTCTTTCCCGCCACCACAGTGCTCACAGGGTTGAGAACTGGATCCATCTGTGTCGCTCTGCTTCTAAACAAAGACACAAAGACAGTGTAAGTCAGGGAATTCCTTCAACATTTTTATTCTGAACGTCGCCTGAAATAAAGAGCAGCCTAATTACATTTTACTGTTTACATTATAACACTCAGCTTACTGGGCGAAGTTAGAAATAAAATGATTAAACTGCTGTTTTTTATGTACACATTGCTATGTGCTCATTAAAGAGTTGGCACTCCATGTAGTGATGGTCAAAACCTTCATTCAGCACTATGAATTATTGCGACTGACATGCTGAGTTGCGGAGGGTTCTGCAAACATGCTTACACATCACACTGGTTAAAGTCAGGGAGATACTTTTGCTTGACCAAGGGAGACCGAACATGTCCTGAGCTTAGATAATAACTAGAAACAGTATGCTGAAAATTGCTAGATAATTTTAAATGCAGCAAAGATAGGTTGGGGAGGTGATTTTTCGTTCTCCATCTTATTCCAGGAAGAGGGATGATACAAGACGAGGTCAAACGTGAATGAGGTGCAAGAGGAGAACCAGCCAGGAGAAGCCAGAAGAAAATAGTCATAACAATACATTTTTTCTTTTAGCATAAAACTGCGCGGCCCTCCTCTAAGGGCATCCTTTGTGAGAAAACAGACCGCTGATTTCACATCAATGTTCAGCACTGTAACTTTTAATTTCAACTGCTGAAGCAAATTAAATCTTTTTAAAAGAATAGACGCTCTGACACACATTATCAGTAAGCAGTCTCTGTTACTGTCAGTGGCTTCATCCATCTGTGATAAAAGTGTTTATCACGCACCTTATCATTAGGCTGTTCCACTATGTCCTCTGACATATAATAATAATAATAATAATAATAATAATAATAATAATAATAATAATAATAATAATAATAATAAATGTATACTTTATTGATCCCTGTGGGGAAATTACTCTCTCTGCATTTGACCGATTCACTCAGTGAAGCCGTGGGCAGCCACCTAGGAGGTGCACCAGGGAGCAGTGTGTAGGGACGGTATCTTGCTCAGGGGTACCTCAGGGTAGCTGTTCAGTGGATTTGAATGCGGACCTTCTGATCATGGGGCTCTACTAGAGCTGGGCGACAGAACGATAACGATATGTATTGCGAAATAACTTTTTCTCGATAGAAAAATTAAACTATTGCGATGGGCTTCATCTCTCTTGTCCTCTTAACAATAATAAAAAAAAAAAGACCAGCCAATCCAAATTAAGTAGTGCAGAGCCAAACCAATCACAGCTGCAGCGTCACATCACGTGACTTATTACGTACAGCACAAGTGCCAAGCTGCACATGTGTATTTGTTTGGGAAGCAGCCAGCCACCGTACCGCCCGGGTAATGGAGGGAATGAGTGTGCCGACTAGAAAAATCAACCGAGCGTGACCGAAGGTTACCGAAGAGAAAACAGATGATGGTTCCAACGCCGGAGAGATTGTCGAACGGAAGAGCCATAGAAGTTCCGTAGTGTGAAGGTATTTCGGCTATTTCAAGTCTGACAAAAAACAGAGTAGCGTGCACTGTAAATGTGCCGAAAGCAAGTCTGGAAATACAATAAAGCGGTGCAGCTCAGTCTCTGACTGGAAGCGCTAATTCGTCATTCGGCTTTTGTCAGACTAAAGTAACTGTTAAAACTGTTTGAAAAGCTCAGCTATACAACAAGGAGAGATTGAGAATTTCCTTTTAGTTCTCAGTTTATTTGATATTGACAAAAGTTAGTCAGTTTTGTCTGTTCTTCTGTAAAACAAACTAAGATTTATTTTTAGAATTAATATTTTGTTTCTAAGTGGAATTGACAATTTAGTCTGTTTCCTTTGTTCTATTTTGAAACTTAAACGCTTTAGCGGCTGCCTTTTGTGTAGTTTGCAATATTTGCCTTTATTTATCTGAAAAAGTCTCATGTTCCTTAAGTACATCTACCCTGTTGAACTTATTATGGGAAGTAAATATTTAAATCAAAACAAGCTGCTGATTATTTCACATTTTACTTGTGAGCAACGGCACATTTAAATCTTACAAATATAGTTATTTGGCTTATATCGTGATAGATATCGTTATCGCCTGAAATGGAAAAAAAAACAACATATCGTGATATGAAAAAAATCTCATATCACCCAGCTCTAGGCTCTACCTACTGAGCTTTCCCTGCCCCCATATTATAAATATGCTGATGCTATTAATTCCTCCACAATTGTGTGTGGCTTTTTACACTGTGCCACTTGGTAGGCAACTTTATAAGAGCAGAGGTAAGCATTTGCTGGCACGGATGCAGCTTTATTAAAAAGACACTGCTAAGGACAACTATTCACAAATTTTCGTTTAAAAAAAGTAAACTGACTTGTCTTTGTGCTGTGGATGTTTTGTCTCCAGGTGGCATTTAGCTTGTTTGGCTTTAAACTGTCCTCATTATCCACCATTGTAAAGGTGAAGACAAAGGTAAGATAGGCTTCATCAAATTTCTACTCTTTGGCTTGAAAGAGATTGGTTTGAAAACATAATTGGTGATGCTTCTGTTCTCTACTATGCTAGCAGTGCCTTTTTTTAAATTTATACCCACCCGCAATGGCTCTACTCTACCTCAGCACTCAAAGAGCTTTTTATAACATGCCTCATATACGATAGAAATGATATAAATTTTGCCAACGATAGAGATTTTGACTATCTGACGCTCTATCGCGATAGCGCATGTTGATGATGTCACCAAGCTGCGCCTGTTTTGGTCGAAAGCATCGCAGCGGCTACAACCATCATCATCAATTTATCATCATTTCATCTGCGCTTCCTCCACTTCTGTAACATTGATTCATTAATGTTGAATTCTCTCGCAGCTGCTCTATTCCCATGTTGTTGCAGTATATTAATAACTAACCTCGTATTGTGGATGAATGATCTCAGTTGTTCTCCTGACTGAAGTTTGGCCCGTGTATAGCATCCTGCTATGTGATTGCATTGATATTAAAATTAGTTCAAAAAAATGCTTCAAATGAATTGCAACTCTAAATCCGATTATGGATACAAAGTAACAGTGATCATTGTTTTTAGATAGATGACTTATGTTCTTTACTGACACTTGCCAAATTCCAGCAGAAATGGCAAATGTAACATGGGCCTGTATATGGTACAAAGTGGATACTGTGTCTACAGAGAATTAGTTATTCAGTGTTTTTGTAAGGATCATGGAAGCAAACCTCTGAACTGAAATTCAAGTGTGATAAATCCAAACAGTCCAGGGTAAAATAAAAATATAAATACATACCTCACAGTAACTGCACTTGTAGAGTTTCTTTCTGGTGTGGAGCTGTTGGTGGACTCTGAGGGATCGTGGAGATTTAAAAGCCTTATCACACAGGTCACATTTATAAAGTTTCTCCTCAGCGTGTGTAAACATGTGTTGTTTTAAGCTGTTGTATGTCACAAACAGTTTGCCACACTGATCACAGTAGCACACGTCATTTTTGGTGTGAATGCGTAGGTGTTTATTTCGGCTCTGTTTGCCGCTGAAGTGTCTTCCACAAATTCCACAACCGTACGCCTTAATTCCAGAGTGGGTAACTTGATGAAGCCGTAAATAGCTACTGTAAGGAAAATCTTTACCACACTGATCACAGGTGTACGGTTTAACTCCACTGTGGATTAACTGGTGTCTTTTTAGGTTTCCAGCCTGGGTAAAAGTCTTTCCACACAAGTCACAGTTGTATGGTCTCTCCCCAGTGTGGATGCGTCGATGTTTTGTCAAATACTCAGCAAGGATAAAAGATTTTCCACACAAGTCACAGCTGAATGGTCTCTCCCCAATGTGTCTAAGCCGATGTGTTTTTAGTGAATCCTTTCGAGAAAAATCTTTACCACACTCATCACAGCTGTACGCTTTAACACCACTGTGGATGATTTGGTGTGTTTTTAAGTGTCCAGCCTGGGTATAAGATTTTTCACACAACTCACAGCTGTAAGATTTAACTCCACTGTGGATGGATTGGTGTGTTTTTAGGCCTCTAGGACGGGTAAACCCCTTCCCACACACGTCACAGCTGTATTTTTTCTCTCCCTTTCTTCTGTGAGGTTTGTCGGCCTCCTGAGAGCGCTGACTTCTCGCTCCATGTTGGTCCTGCAGTGACAGAGATACAAACAGAGGCAGTGAGTGAAATGCAGTCGTGGAACAAACTGAACCTTCCAACTTCCTCCATTAGTGGAGTCAAAGATGTCACTAAACACACTGCAGTCAAGTCAAGACAGATTTCTTTGTATAGAACATTTAAAAGACATCAAGTGTCAGCGAAAGTGTTGAACAGAGAGATAATCTAAGGAAATAAAAAAATAAATGAGGTAAAGACAATACTACAAGATTCATTATGCCAATTTACTGTTTATAAGGTTGGGGAAACCTGCAGTCAGCTGAGACTGAAGAAGTCACTTGGATGAGTGACGAAACGTTTCTCCCACAAAACGCTACGTGCAGATGAACAGAATCAACTTTTGGAGCAATAACTGTGCTGCCATGATTAGTGCCTCTGTGCTGTCTTTCAGTCCAGCTTTGTCCAGCCACTGGTAGGACTTCTGGATGTCAGCCACTTCCTCTATCTGCTGGTGGTACATACCGTGCAGGGGCCTGTCCTCCCATTATGGTTCCTCCTCTTCCTTGGATTTCTGCTGCCCGAGGAACTCACTGAGCATGCGTTTAAAAAAAAAAAAATCTCAGTTTTTGGTGATTCGAAACGCCGTTTACGTGTGGACGAAACAGCTGCGTTTTCCAAAATACCCGTGTAGGTGCGGACGCAGCGTAAAAGAGTTAGTAGTTTATTTTATTACTACCTGTAATTTATTGCAGATTACTTGTATTTGCTTAATTGTTTACTAAATGTTTGAGGTGTGAAACAAACCACAATGGAGCAAAATATGGGCGTGTGTGGTTGGAGGGTGTTTGTTCACGCGCGAGAAGGGGGGGCGCGAACATTTTTCTTGTAAAACAAGGGGAGCCCAGCAAAAAAAGTTTGGGAATCACTGCTCTACAGGGTACACTCCTATATGTGCCAGACATGGGCTCCTTCAATTCATGGTCCTACACAGATTACATACCTCAAGTTAGCAAGATTCGATACAGGAGCTGCCCCCTGTGTAACAGACTGCCATGTGTGCATGTGTGCTGATAAAATGTGATCTTTGTGCTTTCTTGTAACTTCTGTGGTTTTTGTTTGTGAATGTAGCTTCTGTATGTATGGAGGAGCCCAGGATGGAAAAGATAAAGCTGCTGTTAACATCCAGCTGTGCACACAGTTTCAATAACAGTGTAACTGAGATATTTTTCTCACCTTTTGTGTTAAAGTCATCGTTTCCTCTGTAGTAGCTGAGCTGAGTCCAAATGGCTGAAATTAGCTGCTCCACCAGACTCTTCTCCTCCCGTTACTCAGCTGGGACACAAAAAAAAAGTATAGATATGTATTTTATCCCTGACAAAAAGAAGCAGACCAAAATCTTATATCCCAATATAAGACATTCCTCATCCTGATAACAATATATATCCAAAATAGTGCATTTTCTTTAAATTCTGTAAATGTCGGGCAACTTGACTTGTGTGAAGTGTTTTCAGCTGAGCATTGTGTACATGGAGTTGAGTGTTTTGACCAATGCATGAAACTAGATATTTTCAGACATCATTTATTACATGGCACACTGTGGGGAACAGCCGGTTCTAATGTTTGAGTCTAAGGTTCATTTTGAGCACCTGACGGTTGTTTCTTGTATTTTGCACACTGGTGTTGCTTGTGAACCTTGTGTGATACCCACCAACGTGTGATCACATTTTTGTGAATTCATTTATGTTTAAGCAAGTGACATTTTCATTTGAAATTGCCCTAAATTAACTAGTTTTAATAGGAGACCTGATAACTAGTCCGGGATATTTGTAGCATATGCTTCATTTTTGTACCAGTAGGTGGCAGTGTGAGACCATGGTTTGGCCTGTTGTTAGCAGTCAGAAGTCTATGATCCGCACTGTTTTCTCATAATGGTGGAGTATTCAGGAAGGACAAGCCACGTCTCCCTGTCTGATCATGTTTGTCCTGCTTGCCGGCCAGCATCGTGCCAGAAATATAAAGTAAAAGCAGTCACACCCGATATATTGCATAGATTAGTTATAAAAGTCGGAAACTGAAAGCGCACAACATTGCGTAGTATAATATATTAGATTTTTGTAAGTATTTGTTTACGGCTTTAGCAGCATGCTATGGGTATACTGTTCGGCTCCATCATGTATTGTTTTAGTCGCTTTTTCTGCCATAAAGCGTTTCCTTAAATTCATCACACATATTGAGATGGTGCTGATTACATAATTCTTTCAGAATATTTGGGATTTATGGATTTATCTGTTTAGCATTTGTTTTGAAGAAAGCTTGATAAGAAAACTAGGTATGTCTATGACAGTGAAATATGTTGATTCTCTTTGTCTAGCTAATAACAGAATACATATATGGAATATGGAACAGGTAAATACACTGTTGTAATACTGTACTGTAACAAAAAGTGCATACGTGTGAAACTCTGCACTCAAGTTTCAAGTACAAATTTTGACCCTATTTTTCTTCCTTTCATCTAATTGGCCAATGTCATGTCAATCACAAATTTAACTATCCAATCAGAGAATAGATGGGTTTGGCTGTCGGAGGGGTGTAAAGGTGTTGAGGACCTTTCGGACATTCTTCATTCTACCTGCACTGATATCTTGGACTCTATTGCTCCGCTCAGGACTGTGCGCGCTAAGCATTTATCAGAGCCGTGGTTGAACGAACATACGCGCTCCCTTAGACGTGACTACAGACGCGCCGAAAGATTGCACGTTTCCCTACAGATTTTAAGGACTCGTTTTTCTGCTTACCAAGAAGCTGTAAAAGCTGCAAAGACAGTTTGTCTCAAACTTAGTGTCAGTAAACAGTCACAGGCATCAGGTACTTTTTAATGTCCTTAACCCTTTAAGACCTACCATAGAACCAAGTCCGCCAGAGCTTATATTATATTTTTACATGTTGTAGTGCCATTTTTGGAGCATTTCAAGTTGCTATACATCAATACAACAATACAATACAACCGGGGTGGCTGTAGCTCAGGTGGCAGAGCAGGTCAGCCACTAATCAGAAGGTCGGTGGTTCGATCCCAGGCTGCCTCCTGGCTGCATGCCAAATATCCTTGGGCAAGATACTCACCCCATGTTTGCCTACTGGTGGTGGTCAGAGGGCCCGGTGGCGCCTGTGTCCGGCAGCCTCGCCTCTGTCAGTGCGCCCCAGGGTGGCTGTGGCTACAATGAAGCTGCCATCGCCAGTGTGTGAATGACTGAATGTAGTGTAAAGCGCTTTGGGGTCCTTAGGGACTGAGTAAAGCACTATACAAATGCAGGCCATTTACCATTTATAGCCCAAATTTGAATATATGCATTAATTGCATAGTAATTACATAAATTGCAATAAACTACAAAAAAGTTGAAAATCGTTTTGTTTTTTTAACATATATTTCTAGTTAGAGAAATTTAAGAGGCTTATCCCTCAAAACTTTAAATGTAAAAAAGTTGCACAAAATAGTTTCCCACCACAGGAAATTTATTTTGATTTTTTTCATAGTTTTATTTTTGAAATACACCAATTTTTATATACTGCAGGAAAAATAAAAATAAATATTATACTGCAAATTTGCAAATTTGCAAAAAAAAACAAACAAAACAAACAGCATATGCATCAAAACAAACGATTTCCAGCGGTGCAATTTGACTTTAAGCATCCCAGAAACGACACAGAAAGTCATAAAATCAAACATAACTTTTAAAAACACCAGTATAGGCTTACAAGACACTGATGAAAAAAAACAAAACTACATTTTCGCGAAAATGACGCGGAAAATGACGAAAATGAGTGCTGCCCTTTTATTGTTGGACTTGTCAGCAGCTTTTGACACGGTTGACCACGACATCCTGTTATCACGGCTAGAATTTCATGCTGGCCTAAAAGGATCTGCCCTCCAGTGGTTTCGGTCCTATTTGTCAGAAAGGTCTTTTTTATGTCAATATAGGCCCCCACAACTCCAAAATAGCCCCTCTTAAATACGGTGTACCTCAAGGCTCTCTTTTGGGTCCTGCCCTGTTCGCACTCTATTTGTTGTTGTTGTTGTTGTTGTTGTTGGGCTCCATCTTCTCGTGCTACAGCATTTAATTTCACTGTTTTGCTGATGATTTCCAGATTTATCTACCTTTAAAAGCAGGATCAGACCGTCCCCAGCTCTTATTACGCTGCCTTGATGATGTCAAACAGTGGTTGTCATTAAAATTTTTTAAAGCTAAATGAAAATAAAACTGATGTTGTCATTTTTGGCAACTTTAATCATATCGACAGCACTCTGGGCCCCTTTCCTTCTATTGTAAAACACATGTAAAAAACCTCGGAGTCAACCTTGATGGTTCTTTTAAATTGAATAAGCAGGTGAGTGCAGTAGTTCAGTCCTGCTTTTTTCAGTTAAGACAGGTAAAGCCATACCTCCCGGCTAATTATTGTGGACTTCAGGAAGCACACAGCCCCACTCCCCCCCATCATCCTGACTGACACCCCCATCACCTCTGTGGACTCATTCCGCTTCCTGGGTACCACCATCACCCAGGACCTGAAGTGGGAGCCCACCATCACCTTCGTCATTAAGAAAGCCCAGCAGAGGATGTACTTCCTGAGGCAGCTGAAGAAATTCAACCTGCCAACACGGACGATGATGCAATTCTACACTGCAATCATCGAGTCCATCCTCACCTCCTCCATCACCGTGTGGTACGCTGGAGCCACTATCAGGGACAAACAGAGACTGCAGCGTGTTGTGCGCTCTGCTGAGAAGGTGATTGGCTGCAGACTCCCATCTCTGCAGGACCTGTACACCTCCAGGACACTGCGGCGTGCAGCTCGGATCTCAGCTGACCCTTCTCACCCTGGACACAGTCTGTTTGACCTGCTCCCCTCAGGCAGGAGGCTCCGGTCCATTCGCACCAGAACCTCTCGCCATAAGAACAGTTTCTTCCCCTCTGCTGTGGACACATGAACAATAACCCATGACTGTTCCCACCACTAACACATGACCCTACGCTGTGTTCACTGCATCATTCCATGTTTGGCACTGATCACCACCTGCACTCATGTATATATCATGTATATATCTATCTACTTAGCACTTTTAATTCTTATTCTCATTTTTATTTTCATGTCTATTTAAGCTTAATTTATAACAGTATTTATAACAGTATGTTTGCACTGAAGCACCGCAGCAATTTCCTAATGTTGTAAACCCGCTCAACATTTGGCAATAAAACCCTTTCTGATTCTGATTTAACGTCTTTGAGCGTGTTATTCACCTTTTCCTTACTTGCAGATTAGACTACTGCAATTCATTGTATTATGGTCTAGATCAGGCCACCATCCATCGTCTTCAGATGGTTCAAAATGCAGCTGCTCGCCTGCTAACTGGTACCAAACGGAGAGAGCATATAACCCCAGTTTTAGCTTCTTTACACTGGCTTCCTGTCTCCTACAGGATCCAATTTAAACTTTTACTTTTTGTTTTTAAGTCACTTAATGCCCGAGCCCCTCCTTACCTGTCTGAGCTCCTCTCTGCCTATGCTCCAGGAAAACCCACGAGGTCTAGCTCAAAACTAATGCTGGCCATCCCACGGACTAACCTCGTGGTGATAGATCCTTCTCTGTTGCAGGTCCCAGACTTTGGAATAGTCTCCCCTTAACTATTAGATCTGCACAAACACTTGAGCAATTTAAATCATTACTGAAGACACATTTCTATGCCCTGGCTTTTAACACACTATGACCCAAGCATTCTGGTCTTATTTGAATTAGTTTTAGTTATTGTTTTAATTCTCTTATTGTTTTATACTGTTATTGTATTACATTGTTGCTTTTTAATGCCATTTTTATATTGTTAAGCACTTTGTGCAGCATCGGCTGTTTGAAATGTGCCATATCAATAAACTTGACCTTGACAAGCTCATTGACTGAACCTCTGGACAGGTCAGGTGTTAATGGGAAGACCTGGTTAAAGATGTCACTACTGTCTTCAGTTATACACGTTTTATATTTAAAATTGATTCAGGATTTAATACCTCGATCAGAAAATTGATTGAAACCTACTTTTAAAAAAGTCATTAATTACTAATTACTTAGTCAATATTGTATTTAAAATACTTATCTAATTACTGTGTCAGAAAAGTAACTTAATTACTAAATAAGTAATTTAACTAAATACTTCTTAAAATCCCTGTAAACCTTCAGTGGGCAAACAATAGAAATTAAACTCTTTAAATAATAAATAATTTTTTTTTAAAGACGGAGACTCTACAGTACGCAGCGGTAGCATCTCTTCCACAAAGTAGCCTGCAATCATTTTTTAAGCTCACCTTTGTAAGCACCTTCTGTGCTGCTGAAGTAAAATCAGGTTTTGCCTGCTTAGCAGGAGTTGCTGCGGTGTTATCCATGGATGATGAACAAGGATCATAGCTTACATATTACTGTAATATTCTTGTCTGCTTGTTTCAGAAAAGTGAAGAGACGGGAATATGTCCATTTCATAAAACAGCCACTCGCTTCAGCCGAGTCCGACATCTTCCGCTTTAGAATACGACTGTGCAGCAAACTGGCGCGAAATGACGCGCAGCTGCACTACAGCGATGTTAAAGCGGCAGAGTTTACTTCTACGTTTAGAAGATAAATTGTTGAAGTTAAATAATGATATTCTGCGAGTTTAATTATTTTACAATGTAACGCAAGCACATTGTAAGTAACTGTAATTAAAATACCTAAAAATGAACAGTAATTAGTTACTCTACTTTTTCAGTGGAAAAATAATTTAATTACAGTAACGCATTACTTAGTAACGCATTACACCCTACACTGCTTGACACCACAATTGTGCAAGTGAAGCAAAAGGCAAGATACACGTCATCATATTTTCGACTCTTTGGCTTAGAAGGATGTTAGTTTGGAAGCATATCTGGCGATCTTCATCTTCTGCTTTAGGTTTGCATGTGAGCCTCATCAAAAACCTGCCCATTATGCTAGCAGTGTCCAAGCATTTTTCTTTTAAATTTATTTTTTACTCATAGCGTAACATCTGGTAACATAACATCTCTATTAAGGGAGAAGTTAAAAGTCAAAGATCTCTGTATAATTTTCAGTGCTGCCAAATGTGGATTTAATTCCTCACTGCACTGTGTGTGTCTGTTTATAGATTCAATAAAACACGTGTAGTTCTCCCAAAATCCTTCCCCTTCTCATCAGACTATGCCCAACCCAAAAACAACCCCAAACTAATGAAATATGTAATTTTGAGAGTATTTTATTTGTTATATTAGCTTTTGGGATAAAACCAAGTAATATGATGATAATAAAATAATAAAAACACTAAGAATCATTTAATATTTTAGTTTCTTTACTTTAACTAAAAGAATAATAATAAAAACAAACGACCAAAATATAAGCTCCAAATTTGATCTTAGTACTGAAAATACCTTATTACTATTATTAAATTATTATTTTTAGCTATGGTTGTGACTACTGTAAGGAATACATATGCAGCAGGCCCCTAATATTCCGGCCATCCTCGTAAAGGAGAAGAAAACTACAGGATCATTTAAACAACCTTGTGAGTTTAGGTGTACAGTTTCCTGAATTTACGAGGTGCACCTAAAGGTACTGTTGAATAGCGATGCCCGCACTGAACTGTACATAATGCTTTTTTAACCCTGGATGTGGCTCGGTGCTTACCTTTAGATGAGCCCACAAACCGAGAGAAACTCCGCGATGAAGCTGCAACTCTTTCCAAACACAGGAAACAGATCAGGGAGCAGAGACCCACGTGGTTCACGCTGATCTCAGCTACGATCCAGGAGACAAGGGTGGGCAGATCGATGCAGATATCGATCAGGACGTTGGTAGTGGTTTATGATCGATACTTTAGTTCGTTTCTCTCCTCTAAGTTCACTACTTTACTCCCGTTTCATGAAAAAGCAGCTCTCTCTGCTCGGCTCCTCTCCTGCACACACACTTTGCTCCGCCCCCTTCTTCTTCTGCCGTATAGGGTTTACAGGCGGTTGGCAAACAGCAAAATGGTGCATTGCCGCCACCAACTGGTGTGGAGTGCGGACCGGAATGTCAAAAAAAAAAAAAAATCCTCTCGAACAAATGGGTCTGCCTTAAAAACCAAAATACAGCCTGATAACTTTCACTTAAAGACGTCGTGCGAAACAGATCAATCAAGTCCAACTTCACTTCCATATCGTCCAGCTTTTTGATCATTTGTCTCCTTTCAATATCAAACCTCTGACAATTCAAGAAACATGTTCTATTGTTTCCTGTTCCCTACTGCAGTCATTCCCCTGTACAGCGTTTACCTATTAAAAACAAGGTGCTATTTGAACCAGTGTGTCCGAAACTCAGTCGAGATATAATCGTATCCTCTATCATGTTTCGGCCTGTACTTCTCATTTTCCCCACTTTCCTTTAGATTTTATAAAACCATCGCCCTTTCCTCTCTTCCTCCCATTGCTTTTGCCACCTTTCCTTCATTTTGTATCGTACTGTACTCTTGAGCTCCGTCCTACTCACACTAATAACCATATCTACCATCGGTCTCCTTGTTGCGACTTTTGCTGTCCTATCTGCCATTTCATTTCCTTTACCTCCATGATGCGCTGGTACCCATAAGAATGTGACCATAAGCCCCATCATAACAAGTCTGAACAATGTTTGCTGGATCTGTATCAGAATGTCAGTCTGCAGTCTGAGTGACAGTCTTGCAGACTGGCCAGTGAAGAGCTCGAGTCTGAAAATGTCACAGATCTTAGTGGTTTTGTTTCTTCAATCCACTGGACAGCTAACAATAATGAAACCATTTCACCCGTGTACACTGATAAATCGTCACTGATCCTTTCCCCTACCTTGATATTAAATTCTGGAACTATAAAGGCTATCCCGCTTTGGTTGGCTGTATTCTTTGATGCATCTGTGTAGATTTTGACATAACTCTAATACTGATTAATATATTCCTGTGCTGTATGTAGATTTAAGATAAACCCCTCTCCTTGTTCTTTTTCTTTAACAATGTGAAATCTGCTACTGCATCAGCGAGCATCCATGGTGGTATTGTAGGCAACGGTGCTGTTTGACTTATGTTTATCTTGTCCTGATTAAGTTCAGGTGCTTTCTGTCCCACTGTCCACCCAAAACTCTTCTATTCATGTTTCTCTTTCTCCCAGCATGGTTGGAAAACTGTTTTTGTCGGATGATCCTGACCACGTCCTTGTAAACCTGCCCAGTAATTCAATGCCAGTTGCTCTCTTCTTATTTGTAATGGCATTTCCCCCATTTCTACCTGTACAGCTGCTGCAGATGTTGTTTTGAATGCGCCTGAGCAAAGTCTTAACGCTTGATATTGGATACCATCCAACTTACAAAGACTTGTTCTGACAGCAGAATTATATACTACACACCCATAATCCAATACTGACCTAATCAACCCAGTATATAAAGCTTTTAAAGATTTCCTATCAACCCCCCAGTCAGTTCCCACTAAGCACCTCATTATATTCAACACTTTCTTGTAGTGATGGTCCGCTTGAAGCTGAAGCTCCGGTGCGTGTGTCAAAAAAATCAGCACACTGCTTCAGAAGCTCTGTGTCGAAGCTTGCTTCGTTTGGCCAGAGTCATGTGATCAGTGACGTCCGAAGCTTCATTTAGAACCTAACTGCTTTGGTAGAAAAACTTCCACTTGACTCTTTACATTTAATGTTGTAAAATATATATTTTATTGTTTAATTAATCTGAAAATGTTAGTCTGCCAAATGTGCAGCAATTTAATGTATTTATTCTCTTTAGCTGATAGTTTGTGGGGCCCAGGTAGACTGTATAACTGCATCTCTACCAGTTTCTCACTACACCTCCAGGACACTGCGGCGTGCAGCTCGGATCTCAGCTGACCCTTCTCACCCTGGACACAGTCTGTTTGACCTGCTCCCCTCAGGCAGGAGGCTCCGGTCCATTCGCACCAGAACCTCTCGCCATAAGAACAGTTTCTTCCCCTCTGCTGTTGGACACATGAACAATAACCACATGACTGTTCCCACCACTAACACATGACCCTACGCTGTGTCACTGCATCATTCCATGTTTGGCACTGATCACCACCTGCACTCATGTATATATCATGTATATATCTATCTACTTAGCACTTTTAATTCTTATTCTCATTTTTATTTTCATGTCTATTTAAGCTTAATTTACAACAGTATTTATAACAGTATGTTTGCACTGAAGCACCGCAGCAATTTCCTAATGTTGTAAACCCGCTCAACATTTGGCAATAAAACCCTTTCTGATTCTGATTCTAACGTCTTTGAGCGTGTTATTCACCTTTTCCTTACTTGCAGATTAGACTACTGCAATTCATTGTATTATGGTCTAGATCAGGCCACCATCCATCGTCTTCAGATGGTTCAAAATGCAGCTGCTCGCCTGCTAACTGGTACCAAACGGAGAGAGCATATAACCCCAGTTTTAGCTTCTTTACACTGGCTTCCTGTCTCCTACAGGATCCAATTTAAACTTTTACTTTTTGTTTTTAAGTCACTTAATGCCCGAGCCCCTCCTTACCTGTCTGAGCTCCTCTCTGCCTATGCTCCAGGAAAAACCACGAGGTCTAGCTCAAAACTAATGTTGTCCATCCCACGGACTAACCCGTGGTGATAGATCCTTCTCTGTGGCAGGTCCCAGACTTTGGAATAGTCTCCCCTTAAATATTAGATCTGCACAAACACTTGAGCAATTTAAATCTTTACTAAAGACACATTTCTATGCCCTGGCTTTTAACACACTATGACCCAAGCATTCTGGTCTTATTTGAATTAGTTTTAGTTATTGTTTTAATTCTCTTATTGTTTTATACTGTTATTGTATTAAATTGTTGCTTTTTAATGCCATTTTTATATTGTTAAGCACTTTGTGCAGCATCGGCTGTTTGAAATGTGCCATATCAATAAACTTGACCTTGACAAGCTCATTGACTGAACCTCTGGACAGGTCAGGTGTTAATGGGAAGACCTGGTTAAAGATGTCACTACTGTCTTCAGTTATACACGTTTTATATTTAAAATTGATTCAGGATTTAATACCTCGATCAGAAAATTGATTGAAACCTACTTTTAAAAAAGTAATTAATTACTAATTACTTAGTCAATATTGTATTTAAAATACTTATCTAATTACTGTGTCAGAAAAGTAACTTAATTACTAAATAAGTAATTTAACTAAATACTTCTTAAAATCCCTATAAACCTTGAGTGGGCAAACAATAGAAATTAAACTCTTTAAATAATAAATAATTTTTTTTAAAGACGGAGACTCTACAGTACGCAGCGGTAGCATCTCTTCCACAATGTAGCCTGCAATCATTTTTTAAGCTCACCTTTTTAAGCACCTTCTGTGCTGCTGAAGTAAAATCAGGTTTTGCCTGCTTAGCAGGAGTTGCTGCGGTGTTATCCATGGATGATGAACAAGGATCATAGCTTACATATTACTGTAATATTCTTGTCTGCTTGTTTCAGAAAAGTGAAGAGACGGGAATATGTCCATTTCATAAAACAGCCACTCGCTTCAGCCGAGTCCGACATCTTCCGCTTTAGAATACGACTATGCAGCAAACTGGCGCGAAATGACGTGCAGCTGCACTACAGCGATGTTAAAGCGGCAGAGTTTACTTCTACGTTTAGAAGATAAATTATTGAAATTAAATAATGATATTCAGCGAGTTTAATTATTTTACAATGTAACGCAAGTACATTGTAAGTAACTGTAATTAAAATACCTAAAAATGAACAGTAATTAGTTACTCTACTTTTTCAGTGGAAAAGTAATTTAATTACAGTAACGCGTTACTTAGTAACGCATTACACCCAACACTGCTTGGCACCACAATTGTGCAAGTGAAGCAAAAGGCAAGATACACGTCATCATATTTTCTACTCTTTGGCTTAGAAGGATGTTGGTTTGGAAGCATATCTGGCGATCTTCATCTTCTGCTTTAGGTTTGCATGTGAGCCTCATCAAAAACCTGCCCATTATGCTAGCAGTGTCCAAGCATTTTTCTTTTAAATTTATTTTTTACTCATAGCGTAACATCTGGTAACATAACATCTCTATTAAGGGAGAAGTTAAAAGTCAAAGATCTCTGTATAATTTTCAGTGCTGCCAAATGTGGATTTAATTCCTCACTGCACTGTGTGTGTCTGTTTATAGATTCAATAAAACACGTGTAGTTCTCCCAAAATCCTTCCCCTTCTCATCAGACTATGCCCAACCCAAAAACAACCCCAAACTAATGAAATATGTAATTTTGAGAGTATTTTATTTGTTATATTAGCTTTTGGGATAAAACCAAGTAATATGATGATAATAAAATAATAAAAACACTAAGAATCATTTAATATTTTAGTTTCTTTACTTTAACTAAAAGAATAATAATAAAAACAAACGACCAAAATATAAGCTCCAAATTTGATCTTAGTACTGAAAATACCTTATTACTATTATTAAATTATTATTTTTAGCTATGGTTGTGACTACTGTAAGGAATACATATGCAGCAGGCCCCTAATATTCCGGCCATCCTCGTAAAGGAGAAGAAAACTACAGGATCATTTAAACAACCTTGTGAGTTTAGGTGTACAGTTTCCTGAATTTACGAGGTGCACCTAAAGGTACTGTTGAATAGCGATGCCCGCACTGAACTGTACATAATGCTTTTTTAACCCTGGATGTGGCTCGGTGCTTACCTTTAGATGAGCCCACAAACCGAGAGAAACTCCGCGATGAAGCTGCAACTCTTTCCAAACACAGGAAACAGATCAGGGAGCAGAGACCCACGTGGTTCACGCTGATCGCAGCTACGATCCAGGAGACAAGGGTGGGCAGATCGATGCAGATATCGATCAGGACGTTGGTAGTGGTTTATGATCGATACTTTAGTTCGTTTCTCTCCTCTGAGTTCACTACTTTACTCCCGTTTCATGACAAAGCAGCTCTCTCTGCTCGGCTCCTCTCCTGCACACACACTGCTCCGCCCCCTTCTTTTTCTTCTTCTTCTGCCGTATAGGGTTTACAGGCGGTTGGCAAACAGCAAAATGGTGCATTACCGCCACTAACTGGTGTGGAGTGTGGACAGAAATGACAAAAAAAAAAAATTCAAATTCTCCGAACAAATGGGTCTGCCTTAAAAACCAAAATACAGCCCTGATAACTTTCACTTACAGAGGTCGTGCGAAACAAATCAATCAAGTCCAACTTCACTTCCATATCGTCCAGCTTTTTGATCAGTTGTCTCCTTTCAATATCAAACCTCTGACAATTCAAGAAACATGTTCTATTGTTTCCTGTTCCCTACTGCAGTCACACTCCCCTGTACAGTGTTTACCTATTAAAAACAAGTGCTATTTAAACCAGTGTGTCCAAATCTCAGTCGAGATATAATCGTTCCTCTATCCTGTTTCGGCCTGTACTTCTCATTTCCCCACTTTCCTTTGATTTTATAAAACCATCGCCCTTTCCTCTCTTCCTCCCATTGCTTTTGCCACCTTTCCTTCATTTTGTATCGTATTACTCTTGAGCTCCGTCCTACTCACACTAATAACCATATCTACCATCGGTCTCCTTGTTGCGACTTTTGCTGTCCTATCTGCCATTTCATTTCCTTTACCTCCATGATGCGCTGGTACCCATAAGAATGTGACCATAAGCCCCATCATAACAAGTCTGAACAATGTTTGCTGGATCTCTATCAGAATGTCAGTCTGCATTCTGAGTGACTGTCTTGCAGACTGGCCAGTGAAGAGCTCGAGTCTGAACATATCACAGATCTTAGTGGTTTTGTTTCTTCAATCCACTGGACTGCTAACAATATGAAACCATTTCACCTGTGTACACTGATAAATCGTCACTGATCCTTTCCCCACCTTGATATTAAATTCAGGAACTATAAAGGCTATCCCGACTTTGGTTGGCTGTATTCTTTGATGCATCTGTGTAGATTTTGACATAACTATAATACTGATTAATATATTCCTGTGCTGTATGTAGATTTAAGATAAACCCCTCTCCTTGTTCTTTTTCTTTAACAATGTGAAATCTGCTACTGCATCAGCGAGCATCCATGGTGGTATTGTAGGCAACGGTGCTGTTTGACTTATGTTTATCTTGTCCTGATTAAGTTCAGGTGCTTTCTGTCCCACTGTCCACCCAAAACTCTTCTATTCAGTTTTCTTTCTCCCAGCATGGTTGGAAAACAGTTTTTGTCGATGATCTGTGACCATGTCCTTGTAAATTGCCCAGTAATTCAATGTCAGTTGCTCTCTTCTTATTTGTAATGGCATTTCCCCCATTTCTACCTGTAGTGATGCTGCAGATGTTGTTTTGAATGCACCTGAGCAAAGTCTTAACGCTTGATATTGGATACTATCAACTTAGAAGACTTGTTCTGGCAGCAGAATTATATACTATCACACCCATAATCCAATACTGACCTAATCAACCCAGTATATAAAGCTTTTAAAGATTTCCTATCAGCCCCACAGTCAGTTCCCACTAAGCACCTCATTATATTCAACACTTTCTTTAGTGATGGCCGCTTGAAGCTGAAGCTCCGGTGCGTGTGTCAAAAAAATCAGCACACTGCTTCAGAAGCACTGTGTCGAAGCTTGCTTCGTTTGGCCAGAGTCACGTGATCAGTGACGTCCAAAGCTTCATTTAGAACCTAACTGCTTTGGTAGAAAAACTTCCACTTGATTCTTTACATGTAATGTTGTAAAATATATATTTTATTGTTTAATTAATCTGAAAATGTTAGTCTGCCAAATGTGCAGCAATTGAATTTATTTATTCTCTTTAGCTGATAGTTGGTGGGGCCCAGGTAGACTGTATAACTGCATCTCTACCAGTTTCTGTGCCTCCAGCCTCCTCTGGTGCCATGTGAAGGGATTTTCCTTAAGGCAGGAGAAATTATCTCCACGAAAAGGAACAGGTTCGGCCATCGCACAGTGGAACAAATTCTCTTCTTAAATAAAATGGAAAAGGGTTACCTTAAATGCATCATGTTTTTAATTTGCAAGTTCATAAGCACTTTCCCTTTCACAATCAATTCTACCCCCAGGTCAAAATATGTTATGGAAAATTTCCCTAATATAATATTATTTATAATATACCCGTCTAGCGTTAATCTGCATAAGTGACATGGAGGCAGGACCTCACAGCAGAAGCATACTCCATAATGTGTTGTACATTATCATATGTAATTGGTATTTTTCAATTATTGTATTTACCAACATCAAGAAGTCGAAAAGCAAAGAAAGACCACACAATGGTGCATGTTTAAACAAGGAGAGTTTACTGGTCAAATATTTATTAAACAAATAAACACATTTTTTTAACCACCAAAAAAATACACGTTCAAAGCAACACAACGGGGCCCAATATCAGACAGAATTCCACTCTGTACAGTGGGCAATCTAGCACCCCCAGGCTTCTACCTTTCTACCTATAAAACCCGAGAGCAGCCAAATGGCTGGTAGGTAGCTCTTTAGCTTCAGCCAAGTGGAAGCTAAATTGTCTAGTCATTCATATGTAAATTGGGTCGTTGAGTCGTTATCTGGGAATTCTGGAGGGAGGGGATGGGTGTGTGATTGAGGGCCATCTAAGTTTGCCATCTTAGGGAGAAATCACACATGGGTATATGTCCTTTGTTGCTAAGATTTATTGATAAAAACAGTACAAAAAACCAACCATTTGTACACATATTTACAAATAATAATAAAAAGTGAGTGAGTACAAACAATTCAACATTTCCAGCAATCACTCACAATCCTGGCACTGCCATGGTATCTGTAGTCTGCATTTACCACATGTGTATCTTTTGCAGTGAACACATCGCACAGTGGCATGATTGTTCTTGCAGTTGTGTTTGACCTGACACGAGGCTCTTTTTCCAGGGCTGATGTGTGAAGGTTGTGTCCGAAGCAACTGTTCTTTTCTTGCCTTCTTCCCAGCTACATGAGAGCGAGCCAACTCTTTGCAAGCGTCCACCAGGAAGTCCACCCGTCTTTCCTTCGTCCCGGTGCATGCTTGATACAGCACATGTGCATTCAGTGCTGCCATGTCAATCATGTTATAAAACACGGCGACTGGCCAGCGCCGTGTTCCTTTGCGGACAGTGTACTCCCGAACCATCTGGTCCATCACATCCACGCCACACTTTGTTTTGTTGTAAAGGGTGACAGTGTTTGGCTTCCTTTTGGTGGTGTTATCAGTCTGAACCACGCCGTGCATGCTGCTAAGAATATAGACTGTCTTCTTCCGTTTGGCCGCATACGCCGTCAGCGTGGCAGCAGAGGTTGAAAACACCTAAGAAATAAGATAAATTGTTATTTCCATAGCCCTTTTACACACAATGAAACACATAAACATAGAACCACAAAAGACCTGCAACATACCTGAGTGGTGAATGCATTGCGATCTGTCTGTCTAGTGGATTGAGGAATTTCCCTGCGAATCCTGTTGACTGTGCCGAGGATGGTGGTTTTCCGTCTAAGAAGTTTTTGTGCCAGTGAAAGCGATGTGAAAAAATTGTCCGTGGTAACATTTCTGCCCTTGTCTAGGAATGGTTCCATCAGCCTCATTACGACATTTTCAGAAAGTCTCTCCCCAGTGGGACGACTGGGGTCCTTGCCAAGATATGAAGAGAAAGACTTGGATTTGTGCAGACCAAAATTGATCCAACTTGCGGTTTACTTGCAATATACTGCAGGAAACGCACCGAGTCTTTGATGGGAAAAGCTGTTGTCATACACTTTATTTATGAAGATATGTAGCATGAAACAAGAGCTTGTGGTAACTGAAGAACTATATTGATGTGTACTGTTTTTATCAATAAATCTTAGCAACAAAGGACATATACCCATGTGTGTTGATTTCTCCCTAAGATGGCAAACTTAGATGGCCCTCAATCACACACCCCCACTCCCCTCCCTCCAGAATTCCCAGATAACGACTCAACGACCCAATTTACATATGAATGACTAGACAATTTAGCTTCCACTTGGCTGAAGCTAAAGCTCTAGCTAAAACTACCAGCCATTTGGCTGCTCTCGGGTTTTATAGGTAGAAAATGGCCAAATGACTATCCCGTGGGGGTCTAAGTGTATTAATGAAGCAGTTGGTTTTATTTTGTGGATTCAAGCTGCTTCTTCATATTTTTGGCCACCAGATGTCACCAGAGAGGACTGTGTTGAAAAGCTTCCGAGTAATGAACCGTTTTTCAATACAAGCTTCAGAAAGCTTCATTTGGCCATCACTACTTTCTTGCATTTGTCTATTATTTTCTGAATATGTACAGTCCATATCACCTGTGACAAAGTGGGTGAAAGTACGATTTGTCCATATTCTTAGTTAACATTCTTGTTTTGATTTAACCATATTTCACATGTAATCTGCAATAGGCAAACATCTACTATCCCGGGTTTGTTTATGTTTTGCACTTTTACAGATTATATAATATAACATCTTGGTTTAAATCAATTCCTACAAGTTTGTTAAGTTAACATGTTCTTTATTTCAACTGTTAATTTGTATTGTTTAGAACTTACCTTACCTACCTGTCTTCCAGAAACAAAAGGAGGAAATGTAGTTTTACTTCCTGCTTTATAGCTTCTGGGTTCATCTGAGGTCACAGGAAGAGACCAAGTGCAGAAGGGGAAGAACTCTTTAATTTAATAAAGTTGATTTTAGAGGGTTTATGGAGAAATAGATTTATTGTTGTAATATGTATTGATTACACCTAGAGTTTATGTTGCCAGTAAAGAGTAGTAGAGGTTTGAATATAATCATGTTCATCTTACCTACCTACTGAATGGAATAGTCCAGAGGAGAAATTGTTTGGTTAAGTGGACTATTTAAGCAGAACTCAGGTGTTTGAGAGAAAGGTTCAGGTCAGTGTAGCTGTGTGCAGTTTGACCTTAATTTCCGTTGATTTAAGTTCAGTTATGTTTATTTGAACTGAGTTAATTATAGAGTTGAGTTTCTTATTTGTTTCTTTGTAAATATTGTTTGGGCTCACAAAATGGTGAATAAATCACTTGCTACACTGGACAGCATCAGTCTCCTGCACTTCTTTGACCGCTTAAGTCGAGTCCTACCACATCACCTTTCTCAAACCACAACCCCAAAATTTAAATTGTTTTACCCTTTCTAATTCTTGTCAATATAATCTGACCCTGATGTCAACACCAACTCTTTTTCTTGTAAAAACCATTATTTTAGTCTTATCAGCTGAGAATTTAAACCCCCATTTATATGACCACCGTTCTATTTCTGTGATTGCCCCCTGCACTTTCTTTACCAAAAAGTCTAACCTTAGTCCTCTTGCCCACATTGCCCCATCCCACCCTCTATGTTCTTAAACACATCATTTATCAGCAGTGAAAACAATAACGGGCTAACTATGCTTCCTTGGCGTGCCATTTTCTATTGGCAAACTCTCAAATAACTCCTCCCAATCCTCATATGTGATTCTCGGCCTTCCAAAAAATCCTTAATCCATCTGAACATTCGACCATTTATACCCATTTCCCTCATTTTAATTAATAGACCTTCCCTCCACATCATATCATACACTTTCTCTATATCAAAAAAGACCGCCAGCACACTCTCCTTACTCCCTTGTGCCTTCCTTATCTCATGTTCTAAACACAACGCTGGATCCATTGCACCCCTCCCTCTTCTAAAACCACTCTGAAACATTCGTGTCGTCAGCTTGCTGCAGTTCTCCCTACACCTACCCAGGCTCAATAAATAACCAAGTTCTACCTTAACAGTAACGTCAACAATACCGCTACCCTTGACCGCCTAAACTAAATAGTCTACGTACTTAAACACCCTGAGACACTTTTTGTTATAACCATGTTTAATGTTCAGTCCATATCTCTACTATCTAACATTCGAATAAAAAGCTAACCTCAAAAAGAACATTCAGTTGACTCCCACTGCGAATCCGACCTCCCTCGACGCCACTAACTTAATTACCGCTAATCATTATATTTTTTATATTCTATATAAAGCATCATTTTAAAACCCCTCACCAGAAAACTAACAGAACCCAGCTGCACAGCAGAACATATGAATGACCTGTTAAACCAACCCAAACTAACCGCCCTAGCCCGATGCAGCAGAACTTTAACCAAACGACAAACCCCAACTCACGATTCACGAGAAACGAGACCACCAACCATCAAAATAGATCTCCTCAGCTTTATCCACTAGGCATCGAATTTGTCCAAAGTACAGATATCCATGACACCAACACCTAACATTTGGATTCCAACCTGACAACACACCAGAAGCAATCCCAAACTCACGTTAACTTATATTGCCCGTATGAAACAAAAAAAATAGCTGTATACTACTATATGCTCAAACACAGCTGTGTCAACAAGCGATCAGCGATACGACAATATCAACATTAATTATAACAGCCATAGCCCGCCAAACCACTATCCAGAATATCCATACAAACCACTCCCACTGCTGTCTTACATGTCTTCCCTCTTCTTACAATTATTTATGTGGATACCTAAATCCCAGAACAAACGCACCGTTAACAGATTGAACCAATTGTTACTGACACAAACACCCGCAATACAAGAACAAACTTATAATATATATAGATGACAGGCTAAAGCGAAAGAACACCACTCACAACAACTAACTTTCTAACTGACAGAAAGTTAAGCCAAATGATCATACATTCCATCTAGAAAAATACGAATGTAAAACCAATATGTTAACCTGGAAGAAAGCAAACATCAATGATCATATGATATTAAACAGCCATGAGAAAGAATATTAGACGTTTTCACACTCAACTGAACATGACCACAACTATCGTAATAAAATAAGACCAATCACCCGGGATCATAATTAATCGACCCCCAACACAATAGACGCCCTGACGTCAGACAGACACAACTTAAAAACGATAAGATCAACAAAATACAATAAGAAAATAGAAAACATGGAAAGACAAAACGCGAACGCCACATCGTATAGGCTTGGAGCGTCTATGTCACGGGGTGGCGTGGAAAAGCCCTTTTCGTCCTGATCCCCATTTCGGTCCAAACAGCCCAAACCGCAAGCAACAACAAGAGCGAACACACACAACAGCCAACGGTATCTATTTTGCTGTCGTTCGGCCAAGCCAGACGAATGCCAATGCTATCTGATCACACGAACCAAGCAAAGAAACAATAACTTAAAAGGTTTATCATTTTCTTCTCCAACTGGAAGCAACATACCAGCTCGAATAATCGAATTTACCAAAAGCGAGCCAAAAGCGCCTCACCCTGAGAACGAAGATAAGCACGCGTGACGACCCGCCAAAAAATGAAATACATGGCAGTAAACTCACCATCTCCAAAAAACAACATCTGCTTCTGCCGCCCAACTAGACCAACTAATCCACCTCCCAAGGTAAAACTAATCTAACCAACAAACTTCAGATCACCTCCTATAAGTACCTCCATTAAAGCTCCACTAATACTCTAACATCACTCAGAAGGAAACATAGCCCACAATAATTCTACAACAAACATAAACCTAAAATCTGAAAGTGAAATATGATAAAGACAGAGAAACTACCTACCGACTAATAGATAAATGCATAACCATATATATGCAATCCACTATTGCAGAAAACCAACGAGAAATAACGAAAAAAATGAAGCAACAATCTACGCAAATGACTGACCCGTCCAGCCGCGCAAAAACAAAAAACAACAAGCACCCGGACCTGCTAAATCCACAAACATATTCAACCACTCACATAGAATACTTCCTTCCACGTGAGGGTGAAAGCGACCCTCATCTCCGGAATAGATGGAAGTGAGCTGCGTAGTGAATGAACAGAAAATATCAAAAAACCACCAAAAGCAACACTTGCTCCTGTTTAAATATATCTTCCTGCTTCTAAAATATCAAATACAAATTTATTTCAAAAACCCTACAGAATTAACACACCCAAAGTAATGTTCACACGATGCCGAATATATCATGGAAATAAACTTATCTCTCCCATGCAATATTGCGAAGTCCCACAAACACCAAATTTCAATTCATTTGCTAATACTATAAATAATAATAAGATCTTACCTATTATACCCAATCAACACATTACAAACATGCGTTTAAATATTCATTAATAACAAAAAAGACAAAAAAAAATTAATTAATTATCTTTATCAACAAAGATCCAAAGCACACATACAAGCCAAAGATAAACCAACACCATCTTCTGCCAGAACAACACAAACACCGCCCAACCCACATACCACCCAAAAACAACCCACAAAGCAAATGGAAGCGAACAAAAATAAAAAAAAAAACCACAACAATAACAACAACAAAAAAAAAAAACAAACAAACAAAAACCCCAAAACGAGCAAAAACCAGACGAAAAATAACAGTACACAAAAAACAACCACCCTAGAACCCCACCCAAAGAAAAACAACAACAAACAACCCCGTAACAAGCCTAAAGACCCACACACCAGACAACGAAAACTTATGGCCCGCACAAACGAGATCAAAACGGGAAACGCGCTAAATGACCATGAGCCTGAAACAGAGTCCACCTTTACTTTACCAGGAACTTCAACCATAAAGCTCAGTCGCTAAACAAAC